AGAGAGAAAGGGAAGAAGAGGACAAAAAGGAGAGTAAAACAACTAGGAGGGAGAGCAATTCCTTGCCTTAGAAGCATTTATGCCATTTTTGAAATGAAAGTTATTGGGCCTGTTCCAGATTCTTGCTTTCTGACTAGTTTTAAGGTTTTAATTGTTTCTTAGCCAAAGGAAAAGGGGGTCTCCCTTCACATTCCCAGTTTGGCCCTCTCCTACACCGATGCTGGCTCCCTCAGATGGCTCTGCTTGCCCCTTTTCTTTCTTCAGTTTCCCCAGAATTGTGGACCATCAGAACTGGAAGGGTCTATAGGGCATCAATGCCAGAACCCAACTTGTTAAGGCATAAACTATACAATACCAGTGCTAGAATACATGTTAGAATGTGGATCATCAAGGTTGGAAGGAACCTTCAAACACTGTCTGTGCCAAAGGCAAAATGAGGCCATAAACTGGCAGGGGCTGAAGGGAGCTTAGAATAAAGGCTTTGCAGCTGGGCCCCTTCTGACCTGCCTGGCCTCCTAAACACTGGACTTGCCTCCAAGGGCACGACGATCCATTGACTGTAGCTTACTTGCTGTTCCCCGCATCATTGCTCCATTCCCCATCTCCACATCTTTGCACTGACTGTCCCCCATAGTAGAATGCTCTCCCTGCTCACTTCTGCTTCCTGGCTTCTCTGACCTCCTTCAAGACTCAGATTTAATCTCCCTCTTGCAGGAGGTCTCTTCTAATCTCCCCTACCCCAATGCCTTCCCTCTGAGATGGCCTCCCATCTGCACAGTCTATCTCTGTTATGTCCATAGTTATTTGGATGCCTTCTCCATCAGAATGTGAGCTCCTTGAAGGCCATTAAAAAAAAAAAAACTTTCTTTATGGCTTAGCACAGTGCTTGGCACATAGTCATTATTTAATAAATGTTTGTTTCAGACACTTGATACTTACTAGCTGTGTGGCCCTGGGCTAGTCACTTAACCCCAATTGCCTCACCAAAATAAATAAATAAATAAATAAGCAAAAAATAAATAAATAAAATAAATGTTTGTTGATTGATAGATTAAAAATGTCAGAGTTAAAGGGGATCTTGGAACCTAAAATGTCAGAGCTAGACAGACCCTTAGAATCAAGAATGACAGAGCTGGGAGGGCCCTTAGAAATCACAGTGTCAGAGCTGGGAGGAATCTTAAAATAGAGTGTATTAGAGTAGAAGAGACATTTGAGGCCTTCTGGTCAACTACCTTATTTTATAGGCCAGGAAATGAGGCGCAGAGAGGGGACGTGTCCTAGGTATCACAGCTAGCTGGTACTAAGTCCTAATAGTTCTACAACTATTGAAATAAATTAAACTTGGGAGCCTACCCTAATAATTTACAACCACTGGCAACTTCCAACATTCCCTGGTCATCTTGCAATGGCCCCTGATTCATCCTAAAGGTGCTACATGCTACTTTTTTAATGAAAGTAAACTAATATTAATCTTTAAGAGAAGTAGGGCTAGCTGGGGAAGGGGGCTTCAAAAAGGAAACTATCATCACTGATTTCTGCTTCTAAAGATGCAACAAAACACAAAAAATGACATCAGGTTTGCTATTTCCCTAGCCCTGGAAATACATTTGATCTCTTCCTTTAGTTTTGATTTTCCCTGATTGGCTTGTATATGGTAGCTCCATACCTAGGACACAGGAGGGGACCGAAAAGTAGAGAAAGGAGGACATGGCATGAACTCTACCCCCATGACTTCTAAAATCATAATTTTAGAGCATGAAAGGATCTAAGTCATTCATATAATCATAGAGCTAAAGCTGGAGAGACCACAGAAGTCACCTCCCTCTTTTTATGTGTGAGAAATTAGAAGCCCCATACTATTCAATGACTTGTCCAAGGTCATCCAGTAGCCAAGGTAGAATTTAAACCCACATCCTCTGACTCTAGAACCAGTGTTCTTTCTACCATACCCCACTTTCCATCCCGATATTTTTTATTTCTTTTCATCCTCATTTTTTCAAAGAGGAAACTCAGATCAAGAGAGGTTAAATGATGTCTCCAAAGTCATATAGCAAGCTCATGGCATAGCCTGGAGGCAGTGTGACAAAAGACAAGGGAAACTAAGTCAGAAGGTCTAAATTTAGGTCTCAGATCTGCCATTTATTTGCTAGATAAGCATGGACAAGTTCTTGAATCTTTCTGGGCCTCAGTTTCCCAACTGCAAAATCTTTACTTCCCAGAGTTAGAAAATATGTCAGAGGTCTTCAAGTCTAACCTGCACTATATTATCCCCAAAATTAAAATGTGGAAAATAAATGTGTGCTGGTTTTACAATGTTGTTCGGAAAAATGTGCTTTGTAAACCTTAAAATCCAGGGTAAATGTGAGCTATAGAAATTGATTTATCATATCAGTCAACAAACACTCATTAAGTGTGGACAGAATTTTTAAATATAGTCCAGACTGGATTGGTCTCTAACCTATGTATGGCTGGAACCAAACAAAGCAAACCAGAGACAGGTGAGTCAAGAATCAATTAGAAGTTTAATTTCAAGAGTGAGGAAAACAGGCTTGCAAGCACCGTCTTCCTGAAGAGGGCTTTCTCACCTGTGGCAGGGGTAGGGTTTTTAAGCATGAAAACCACAAAAAGGTGGGACCTAACAGTCATTCTTAGGTCTTGAGTAAACCATTCCCATGGCAGGCCATGTGCGCAGGCATGTTGGGGAAAATACAAGCATTCTTGGGTCCTGTGGGAATAGTCTTCAAGTTATTAGAATTATTGAGCCTTGTGACTGTCTGAAGTCGTAAGGGTTGTTGAGCCTTGTGATCATTCAGTGGGGTACAAAACCAAAGTTAGCATGGCAGGAACAAGAGTGAAGCACCTGGTTTGGTTTACAAGTGCAGGGATTGTTCAGAGTGTCAGGAGATGCAAATAATCACTTTCTGCTGCAGTGTGTCAGCTACAATTCCAGCTCTCAGGTCAGGATCCCAGGGGAAACAGAGAAATCCTAAGTCCGAATTCTGGGGTTTTGCTGTGACTGAGAGCATCCAAAGGGTGAGTGCAACGGATTGTTGTTAGGACAAGCTCAGGGCATAGCCTGCTTGCTGGGCCCGAGCTCCAGAAAACAGGGTGTCTTCTGATATCTTGACATAAAAAACGACTATGTGCCAAGCATTGTGTTAAGCTGCAAAGAAATTTTTAAAAAGAAGCATATAAAGCCAAAGGTAGAAAGGGGCATAGAAATCACATATTCCATTTTACAGATGGGATCATTGAGGTTCAGAAAAATGCAGTGATTTTTCCAAAGACACATGTCTCTGACCAGTCCAAAGTTAGCTTCTGATTTCTAAGTCAGTGCATTCAGACCTCTATGTAATATTCAACGAAGAGCAAGGGGGTAAGGTTGGACCAGTGAAGAAGGATCATGACTTGTAAAACCTGGTTGAGGGACTAGAGATGTTTTGCCTGGAAAAGAAGATTTTGGGTAAATATGAGATGAATAGTTGTGTGATGAATAGCGTGTTTGGGGTGGGGTCTGGAAGACCTGGGTTCAAATCCAAACTTTGCTATATACTTGCTGTATGATCATGGACAAGTCACTTCTCTAAACCCCAATTTTCTTAACTTTAAAATGGTCATAATTGTATCTTCTGCTCAGGGTTGTTGTGAGGCTAAAATGAAATAATGCACTCAGAGGTCTTTGCAGACTTTAAAATGTTATGTAAATTAAGCTGTTATTGTTATTGAGGATGTATCCAAGCAAAGAGGGATTCTGTTGTGCTTACTCCCAGAATTCAGAATCAGAAGTGCAATTATGCAAAGAAGCAAATTTAAGCTTGATGCCCAGATGATTTAGAGCTACCCAGCCTGGAAAGGGTTGTCTCTGGAAGTAGGGAGTCTCCCTTTATCAGATATTAAGCCAGAAGGAAACAAGGCAAATTTTAGGGTTTGAACACCAGGTTTCAAATCCTTTCTCTGATTTTTACTATCTCTGTGACTGTGGGCATGTAGGTTATTTAACCTCTCTTGGCCAGTATTTTCCCATCTGTAAAATGGGGAGAGGGTTGGATTCATTGGCTTTTTCAAGTCCTTTCTGGTTTCTACTTGATGATGATAAGATCATAGATTGAGAGTGGGGAGAGACCTCAGAAACTATCTACTCTAAATTCCACATGTTGAAATGTTACAACTAAGGTCTGAGGAAGTTAGCTTGTTCGCCAAGAGAGGGACTTGTCCAAGGTCACTCAAGTAGCAAGCATCAGGGGCAGGATTTGAAGCTAGGTGTTCCAACTCCAACGTTAACGCTCTTTCCAGTGTACTTGTGGGAGGAGGGGACCGCTCCGGGGTAGAGATGCTGGAGACAGAATTCTTGGTTGGGGTGGATTGGACCGGATGGTTTCTGAGGCCTCTTCCAACTCTCAAAATCAATGATTCTTTTGTCATAATCCCCTAACTTCGGTACAATGTTCTTCTGAAAAAAAAAGCGTTATCTTCTGCTTTGTCACTGCACCCTGGGAACCATGGGACCTTTCAGTCTGACTTGCAGCTGAAACTGCCTATATTTGTTATCTCCCCCATTAGAACTGATCTCCTTGAGAGAATGGCCCATCTTTTCCATTTGTGTCTCCAGTACTCAGCTCTGTGCTTTGAACACAGCACCTAATAAATGGGTTTTTTTCTCTTCATTTGTTCATTCCCACCATACAACTTTCCTTCCCACCTTCAATCTCCCCTCCTCCCCTCCCTTCCTCACTGCAGTCCAATCCTGGTGCTCAGCATGGGAGCTAACATTTTCTTCCCCACATTCCTAGTGCCATATGCTTTCCAGAGACCATGTGCAACACCTAGTGATGTAATAATTTTCTCCTGACTTGGGTTACGGCTTGTGCCATCTTCTACGTTGGGGGGTCTTTGACCATATTCCTGCATTACACATAGAAAATGAAATGTTTTCTGTTCATTGAACTGTTGACTTCCCACTCCCATGGACCAAAAATTAAAGAATGGACTTTGTCTTCCAGATTCCAAAGTATCTATACATGTTTGAATAGTCACCTGGATTCCATTAAGAAGTCTCTGCCTTTGGGTTTCCTCACTGTTGATTTACATGTTTGGCCAGATTTCCATGGCAACCGTTCTCCCTTAGCAGACCTGACACTGAAGGGCATGGTGAGTATCTGCCTAGATAGGTACAAAAAGGCAGGGATAGACTAAGGGTTGAGGAAGTTTGGAAGGACCACTGTTGGCAGTGGATTGGGGAGACTAGTGTCCCATTTGGTGGTGAGGTCCTGGCTGATGTGTCTTTATCGTTGTCTCCTCCTGAGATCTGATGAAAACTCAAGATGGTTCTGAGCCAAGACCAGACCTCTGGGCAGGTTGTTGCTGACCCTTTACAGCTGCTGCTTCTCTCAGAGACTGACTTGCTGAAAATCCTGAGCGCCTTTCTTCATTTTTTGGAGGTTTTCTAAGTGGTTTTCCACCCCAATCCTAGGCAGTGCCATGTAAATAGTGCCACCCATGCTCTCACTCAGCATAGCTGGACATCAACTTGGACCTTCAGTCCATGAGTCAGGGTCACTCACAAGACATGGTCTAGACTGCAAGTGTTAACTAAAAGGGGTATCAAAGAGAGGAAGGCAAGTGTAGAGAGGCAAGGAGAACTCAGGTTGCTGTGGGACTTAGAGCCTTCTCTGTGACTCTCAGGCTGTGAGACCTGGGAAAAGTACATGGGGCGTAGGTTCAAAAGTATGCAGGGGCATGCAAACTACAAGGGACCTTATAAGGGTCATCTGGGATAATTCCCTCATGTTACAGAGGAGGAAACTGAGTCTCAGAGAAGGGAAGGGACTTACTCAGTGTTCCACAACTAAGTGTCAGGAGTTGGGTGTGAAACTTCAAGCTTATCACTAAGGTAATTTTGGGAAATTTTGGAAAATTTGTAATTCTTTTTTGAAAAACAGAGGGAGTCCCCAGATCACGTATTTAGAGCTGCTCCAATGGCCTTATGTGTCAGATAAGGAAACCAAGTCCCAGAGGAGGAAAGGACTTGACTGAGATCACACAGCTGGAATTTAGACCCAGGTCCTCTGAGCCCCTAGGACAGTTCTTATTTACCAGACCACAGCGTCTCCGGACCTAGAGTCATGGATCTAGAACTTTAAGAACCCTTAACAGTCATCTTGCCCAAGCTTCTTGTTTTTGTAGATAAAAGAATGGAGGCCTGGAGAAGATTACAATGATGTCCTGTGATCACATAGTTAGTGGTAGACCCAGGATCCCAACTCACTTTGTGATTCCCAGTTCAGGACTGTTTCTACTGCGCCACACTTTGGAGTTCATCTCACCCAGGGGTTCTTTAGGTCCTGGACCCTTGGGCAGTTTGGATGAAGCCTATGGATCCCTTCTCAGAATCAGGTTTTTAAATGCATAAAATAAAATATGTGGAATTACAAAGGAAACTAATTCTGTTGAAATAGATTCATCAAAATAAAAAAAAATTATAGACCAGATTAAGACGCCCAGTCCTTTGATTTTGCGAATGAAGAAAGTGTGGCCAGAAGAAGTGACAGGCTGATTGCCCCAAGGAACACAGTCCATGTAGGAAGTGTCAGTCAGTGCTTGAGTCCTGACCTTCCCAAAGCCCAGGGCCTGTCTTCTACCCATTATGCCATGTTCCCTCTATAGCCATGGAGAAAGTTTCCACACTGAGAGTTACTTTAGTGATTAAATTACAGGTCCAGATCTCCACCCCCAAAAAATTAATAATAAAAAGGAAGCACATGTACACAGACTATTACAGGCAGAATCAAGTTGTGCCTTATTTGGGCGATTTGATAGTTGTTGGGGTGATGATCAATCGGTTAATCAATAAACATTTATTAAGTAGCTATGTGCCAACAGCAGCTAAGGGGCACAGTAGTTAGGGTGCTCAGCCTGGAGTCAGGAAGACTTGAGTTCAAATCCAGCCTCAGACACTCACCAGCTGTGTGACCCTAGGCAAGTCACTTAACTCTGTTTGCCTCAGTTTCCTTAACTGTAAAATGAGCTGGATTAGGAAGTGGTAAATCACTCTAGTATCTTTGCCAAGAAGACCCCCAAATGGGGTCACAAAGAGTTGAAAAACCTGAAAAATTCCTGAACAACAACTGGGTATGAATAATGACAATGTCCCCTCTTTGTCTTCCTACTTGTCTGATTTCTCATTCTCTTTTACTTGACCTTTATCCTTGCTATGCTCTCTAGTCTTGGTGTCCTTCAAGGCTCTATCCTGGATCATTTTCTTTTCTCTACATATATACTTTATCTTAATGACCTAATCAGCTCCCAATTGAACTAACAAGTTCAAGTATCATCTCTATATAGGTGATTCCCTTGTTTTTCCCCGGAGTTCCCGTCCTTTACTACCGGTAGCCTATTAGATATTTCCAGTTGGATGTCCCATAGGCATCTCAAACTCAAACACAACAGAACTCATCATCTTTCCACCTAAACCCTCCCTAGTTCCAGACTCCCCCACTACTGTTGAGCTGGCCATCACACTCCTTGTCACCCAAGCTTGAAACCTCCATGTCATCCTTGACACCTCATTCCCCCTCACCTATATATCTAATATTCACCAAATCTTGTACTTTCTAGCTCGACAATGGCTCTGTCATGTATCCCTTTCTAAACCCAGACAACATCAAGTCCTCATCACTCACCTATCACCTGGTCTATTGTAATAGCTTCCTAATTGGTCTCTCTCAGGGGCAGTGAGGTGGCACAGTGGATAGGGCTCTGGTCTTGGAGTCAGGAGGACCTGAGTTCAAATCTGGCCTCAGACTCTTGATACTTATTGCCTGTGTGACCCTGGGCAAATCATTTAACCCTGATTGCCTCACCAAAAAAAAAATGTTCTGTTCTAATTGGTCTTCCCCCACTGCGATCCATTTTCCACACACTTACCAAAGAGGTTTTCCTATATCCCAACCCTTCCTCCCAATTGATAAACTCCACTGGTTCTCTATTGCTTCTAGAATAAAATATAAACTCATAAAGTACTTCCCTAACCTACCTTTCCAGACTTGGTACACATGACTTTCCTTCATAACTGTGAAATTTACTAGTTCTATGACCCTGGACAAGTTAATTAAGCTTTCTGAGCCTCAGTTTCTTCATTTTTAAAATGTGATCATTGTGATAGCACCCAACTCACAGGGTTGTAGTGAGCCTCAAATTCAATTGATTAGGTAAGTTTCTTTGTCTCATCTTTTCTGTCTCTGTCTCCGTTTCTCTGTATCTCTGTTTCTGTCGCTGTCTCCCTGTCTCTATCTGTTTCTGTCTCTCTCTTTCATCAGTCTCTCAGAGAGATGCTTGTACCACTTAGAGTCTAAGCATCTTGCTCAGGGTAACATAATCAGTGTATGGCAGACCTGGGATTTAAATCAGGTCTCTCTGGCTCTGTGTCCCACTTTCCAGGCACCAGTACGTTCTGTCTCACCTCCATTCATAAACCTTTAATCAATGAAATTGAATTCTTTAACATAGTTAAGAAAGACAGGGATAAGGAGTACAAAGTAATGTGGAAAAGCCTTTATAAAATAATGAAAATGCAGAACGAGCAGAATGGAGAGCACACTAACTATGAAAATATATGGGAAAGTGAATGAGCATTTATTGGCAAAGAACTCTCATGGGAGTTTGGAGAGAGAGGGAGAGAAAATGTGTTGTGATACTATTTACCCTGAAATTAACTTAAAAGTCAAATATTACTACTACTAGGATTACAAATATTATAAGTGAGTTTAGTTGTTTGTATTGTGCTAATATCATTTCCATTAAAATGTTTAATTTTGAAAATTGGCATTAATCAGTAAGTCACACTTTACATACCTTTTACCTTCACTGAGAAACTCAGACTCATTTAAAAAAAAAGTCTATGGGTGCGTATTGAGATCTGAAGGAAGGTTTAGAAGAGGAAATGATGCAGAAGAGGCCCAGCCAACATCATTTAGTAAGATAATACCTTCTACGTGAGGTGGCTCCATCCTCATTTTAACTTGTGGTTTTAAAATCTGACAATTGGTCTCAGGAAACAAGTTTTAGCAGAATAGTCTGAGGGGAATGGGAAAGAGGTGACAGCTAAAAGTGGACATTTAGCAGGTTCCTGGGCTTATAACCAAGTGGGAAAAGCACCAAGAGAAAAGGATGTGAGTCTGGTAATGGAGTCTCGACCACAGGAAAGCACCGGTTTGGGGATAGGAACACTTAGGTTAAAATTCTGACCCATGTGACCTTGAGAAAGTCACTTAACCTCTAGGGACCTCAGTTTCCTTATCTGTAAAATGAGAGAATGAGATTAGATGGTCTGGTCTCTTCTAGCTTTAAATTAATGAACTGGTGAACTCATAAGTTAAGTGGTGAAAAGAGCCACACTATTCATCCCTTAAAGTTCCAGAATCATAGATTTAGAGCTGGGAGAGACCTGAAAGCTGATTAATTACAGCATATCATAGTGGGGAAAAAAATCACTGACCCAGGGGCCAGAAGACTTGAGGGGTTAAGCCCCCAACACACAAGTCATATTATAGCTATGAACAAGTTCACTTTTTTTCCCTGGAGCTCAATTTCCTCATCTGTGAGATGAGGGATCTGAGCAAAAAGGGGCTTTAGAATCTAGAATGTCAAATTGGAAGAGAAAAGTCCCTAAATCAGGACTTCTTAACCTTTTTTTTTTTTCTGTATTCTGGATTCCTCCTCCCAACAATCATTAGCATTTATATATCCCTTCAAGGTTTGCAAAACACTTTACAAATGTAATCTCATTTGATCCCCATGACAACCCTGGGAGGCAGGTGCTATTATACCCATTTTCCTGATGAGAAAACTGAGGCAGATGGAGCTTAAATGACTAAAATCACACAGTTAGTGAGAGTCTGAAGCCAGATTTTAATTCAGTTTTTCCAGGTCTAGCAGTCTATCCACTAGTTGTGTAAGTGTTTTCAAATGCATAAAATAAAATAAAATCATAGGATTATAAAGGAAACCAATTATATTGAAATTCAGTTATCAAAATATTTTTGTAAAGTAAATGGACCCTGGGTTAAAAACCCCTGGATAAAATGATAACGCTAAGGATAGCTTATATTTGTGTAACTCTTTTCCTAAAACCCTATGAAGTAGATGCTATATATATATTATCCCCATTTTACAGAAAAGTAAACTGAATTCTTGAATGAGAAAGAGAGGGGATGTGATTCTCCAAAGGTTACAGGAATAGCAGCAGAACAAGACTTGAGCCCAATTTTTATTGTTATTGTTTAGTTGTTTTTAATCGTGTCCAACTCTTCCTGACCCCATTTGGGGTTTTCTTGGCCAAGATACTGGAGTGGTTTGCCATCTCCTTCTCCAGCTCATTTTACAGATGAGGAAACTGAGGCAAACAGGGTGAAGTGACTTGTCAAGGGTCACACAGCTAGTAAGTGTCTGAGGCTGGATTTGAACTCAGGTCTTCCTAACTCCAGACCTGGTGCTGTCTGTATTGTACCATCATAATCATTTTAGAACTTGGGAGTCTTTCATTCCTCAGCTGAAAAATAAGCCAATTTAGACTGGATGTTCTTGAAGATTCCCTCCAGTGATAAAACTATTCTTGTATGACTCACATAAATTCTCTGATCTTTGTTTTTTTCATCCATAAAAAGGAGAAAATTACGCGGGCAATGTCTCTCTAACTTTGTTAGGTTGTTTGTGAGACTCAGATATGATAAATACATCTTACAAATCTTAAAGTGGTATATAAGTGCTAACTTATATTATAACTATTAACTTAAGTTCTGTAGATGCCCCTTGGGAAATGCTCTTTGTATCAATGAACATTCTTTCATGGTTGTATGAGGGGGGGAAGAAAAAAAACATCCCAAGGTGTCAAGTTCATGGGTGTGATTGTTACCCTTCCCACAGTGGGTTTATTGGTGTGTCCCTCTCTCCCTCTTATTTTGGGCATGCTTTCCCTCCCCCACTCCCACCCCCATTTCTGAAGCAAAAAAGGCTTAGGCTGTAGTTCACATCTGGTTCACAAAGAGAGGATTTGCATTTGAACTCACTACAACCCGAAAACATGCCTGAATGTCTTTCATGGGAAATGTCCCCTTCCCTGAATGCCACAGTTGTAAATCTGTTTTTGTTCTCTCTCTCTCTCTCTCTCTCTCTCTCTCTCTCTCTCTCTCTCTCTCTCTCTCTCTCTCTCTCCTCCAATCCATGCAGGTCACAGGATTGAGACTGTCTCATAGCCTCGATGATCTGGCTCTTCTCTACCTGGCCACAGTTCAAGCCATTGCTGTAAGTATCTGGATTATCTTTTTTTTTTCATCTTTTTTTTAACCAAACATTTAATATCTCTCCCTCCTACTACTCCACCATGGAAACACACACACATACACACACACACACACATACATACATACATAATACACATATATACATGTGTGTATATATATATATATATGATAAGAAAACCCTCATGACAAGCACTGAAGTGCAGCAAAACAAATTCTCCCATTGGCCATGTCCAAAATGTCAGTCTCACTTGCCTATTGCTTCTCTGGCAGGAAACGGGTAAGTTTTCTGGCTTCCATGGAGTTGGAGTCAGGGGTGCTCTGTCATATCTTATTCCATGCTCTAGAGGAAAAGATTCTGAATTAAGCAGGAGCTCACCAAGAAGACTTCTAACATCTTGCCCACCCAGAGTGACAGGCTCCCAAAGGTCCTTGCCCACTCTGGCAGTAACCCCATGTAACACAAAGTCCACGGACATCAGCTTTGAATGATCTGCTCATTATTCAGTGTTCTTGAATGCTGATCTGACTAATTTTCCACATTTCCTTCATGGTAAAGGGAAAAGTCATACTCTATGTATTCTGTGAGCATGGCCTGCTGGCAGAAAAGCTAACAAGAAAAAAATAGCCATTTGCAAAACAAATTAACAAAAATGTTCGAGTATAATTACACTCCTGTTTCCATAGACCTTTGGAGTTTAAAGCCATGGAGATGTGAAGGCTTAGAGCTTTCTCCCCAAGAGAATGTAAACTCTTTGAGAAGATGGCCTTTTTCCTCTTCCTTTGGATCCCTGGGGCCTTGTTTGGTCAATGCTTGGTGATTGATTGATTAGGGACAACTGATCATAGATGATTAATTAGGCGTTAATACTAACACCTCTGGAATCAGAGACTGTTAGAGCTTGAAAAAATTTAGAGCCTGACTACTTCAGGGAGTTATTTGTCTTTTTTGGGTCCTGGACCACTCTGGCAGTCTGATGAAGCCTATAGGCTCCTTGTCAAAATAATGTTTTTAAATGCATAAAATAAAGTATGTAGGATTACAAAGGAAACCAATTACATTGAAATAAAATTATCAAAAAAAGAAAGTGTTTTCCCAAAGACAAGTTCACAGTTATTGTCAATCTAGTTATACCTTTGACTTAAGCCAGGAGAGGTTTGGTGACTTGCTCATAGCCCCAGAGAAACAGGTTCTGAATACTCATCTTCAGCCTTCAAATCGGGTGCCCTTTTACATTTTCCTTCATTAGCAAGTAATATTTATTTAGTGCCCATTCATGAATGCTACTGTTAGATGCTATCCAGAATGGAATATGGTCCCCAACCAGTGGAATAATTTAAAGAACTTATCTGAGTTTATTTTGTTGAATTAAGATAGGGTTAATTAATACAATTAATCAGTCAAAGAAATTGAATCGTTTGTACATGAAGACACAAACTAAAACAGATAATGCTGCCACAAATCATCCTGCCAAAGAGAGGTAAGACAAAACAAGAGAAATATATGAATCCACCACAGATAAAGTCAGTCACAGATCTAGAGGAGGAAGGCATCTCAAAGGCCATTGAGCCCAACATCCCTCATTTTACAGATGAAGACACTGAGGCCCAGGGAAGTTGGGACAAAACCATAGGATCACAGATTTAGAGGGGGAGGAAAGCCCAGAGATCATTTAGTCCAATTTCCTCATTTTACAAATAGGGAAACTGAGACCCAGTTAGGTCAAATGTCTTGCCCAAGATAACACAGGTAGCATCAGAGGTGAGATTATCTTCTGTTCTGTACCTGCTAAGGGTGGGAATATATTTCATCAGGTATATAAGACACTAGACCACATAAGACACTAGGAATCCTTATACTGACGCCCACTCCCATTGTCAAATTGAGTCCCCAGAGAATAATGGGCTTCATCTTCCCCTCATTGATCTAGGACTACCTGCAAGGGTCAGTGGGCAAGCCCCCATCTGGTTTACTCCCCAGAAATATCAGTCACCAGTGTTTACTACCCTCATATCATTTTCCATTCCCAGTCATCAGTACCTAACTTTCAGTTCAACCAGTCAATTTCTCCTCAATATCATACATTAATGTCAGTTAGTTTTTTCAAAGGGATATTTATTGAAAAAATATAAGACCCAAAGTATTATAATATTCAGCCAAAATGTGGCAAACTGTTCCATGTACAACTTGGACCTGGGAAAAGTGGACATACCATGGTAGCTACAAACATTCTGGCAACTGAAATTCTAGCAACTGAGTAGGTAGGCAGGAAACAGTCACAGAATCCTTATGTAGACTTTGAAGTAGAGGGCAGGACCTTCCATTACACATGTCTGGACGTAGCAAGCATCCTTGGGTATTGGCACCAGGCGGCAGTGATTGTCCTTCCTTGAAGGATTACATTCTGGACTGGCCAAGCCTTCAATTCAACAGTGTCTCAATGGGAAGGATCTTCAAAGCCCACCTAATCCAAAAGAATACAACAGTGCCATCACCTCCATATTCATGCAGACTTTATGCCTCTGCTAATGCAGCCTGAGCTTATATTAGTTTTTTGGAAGCCCTATCACACCACTGACTAACATTGGCTTTATATTCCATTAAAATCTTCTGATCTTTTCTAAATGAACAACTGGTTCTTTTCAAATGAGCTTCACCTCATATTGGAAGCAGAAAATAAAAACAGCCGAGTGAGTTCCATGTCCAAGCCCCACATGTCACGACTTTATCTTTAATCTGTATTTGGGCAGACTATATGGAGAAGGTGAGTGAAAGAAAATGTATTAGTCTTCTTCTGAATTTTGTACACAACATTTTAGAAATAGTTTTCATGATTATTTGGGCCAACAGAAAACCAGTAATCCAGACCCAGATTGTCTCATAGTTACTCTTTCTGAAAGAATATTACAGGAGGAGCCCTAGCGCTTTATAAATGCAGTCAATTTAAAGTAGGAAAAAGAACCAGCTCTGTTTTTCCAAGTCCCACACACTCTGAAAATCAATTGTGTACTTAATGTACTTATCATAAGTGGCACATGGGGTATTAACAACTTTAGTATTTAGGCTATCCATTGTCTTAATGACCTTTAAAATATCATTGTAAGGAGGCTTTTAAGAGAAAGGCTTTTAGATAGGACTTTATTGTAGAGTAATTTGAATTACTGTGAATACAATTCATTTTGGAAAAGTATCTGTGTGTGCTAACCTTTAAGCAAAATGATGATGGTTTTAATGAAGCATGGAGATAACAGATACATTTCCCAGGATGGTAAATGGAGTAAAATAACATTCTGCTTCAGCAGCTGAGAACAATGCGCCGGCACCTATTTGCTGTTGACAAGCTGAAATTGAACAAATTCCTCCTTTGGACAGTATCAGCAATTGGGTTGTTAATATTCTGTAGGAATAGGATAGTAATGAATGAGGAATGTAATTAAAGGTACATGGAACTGTATGGAACCTTTCTTTAAGTTAAAAAAAAAATTAACCATGCTTAATTGAAAATCTTGTCAAACAATAGCTTTTGTCCATCGGCTGTTAATCTATAGTTTTCTTTTCAACAGTAAACCTTTTAAAAGAAAAAAAAAAGACGATTTGCATTTGAAACCCCCAGATTTGCATTTTCTTCATGATGGAATTAAATTAACTTTTTTTTTTTCCTGTAGTAGACTAGACTAATTTTAATTTAAATTTTTTCCCTGATTAAAACATTTTTTCCAGACAGGTAAACACACAACAGTTTTCTCACAATCGCCTTTGTTGGGGCATTTAGCGAGAGGCAGAAAGAATTTTACAGTTTTGGGTCTGTGAGGCTTGAAGGAGAAGGAGAGTTCCAGCCAAGTTAGATACAGCCACAGTCCTCACCGCAACCAGAGATGAACCTTCAGATAGCAAGTCAGGAACGTTTATTAAGTGCCACTGATTTCAGGAGCTATGCTCTAAGAAGAGCATGCCCATTCAAAACTGAAGATTTTCCCTTAAGAAGATTGACTACATTCTGTTAGGATGACAAATAAGAACATGGAAGTGTATACAAAGTCCCATTAATGATTGGGGGGGGGGGGGGGGGTCTAGAAAGGCCTTGTGTAGAAGTGACCCTGGAGCTTTACTTTGAAGGAAGTTGGGATTTCATGAAGGAGAAGGAGAAGGTGAAGTTGAGGGTGTCCCAGACAGGGCAGACCCCTGTACAAAGGTCTGTCGGCTGAGGAGGTGACCTCAAAGTCACCATTCACCACCTACTATGAGCCAGGCATCCCAGCCATGCTAAGTACTGGTACACAAAAAGATGAAAACACTGCCTTCCCTCAAGAAGATTACATTCTAAAGGGCAAGATAACATATAAATAACTAGGTACATGTATTTGTTGCTGTAGTTCAATCATTTCAAAAATGTTGGGCTCTTTGTGACCCCATAACAGATTGGCTATGGGGGGAGAGGGAGTCTACCACAGGAATAGGAGAAGAAACCAAGATTTTGAGCCTGGGTGACTGGGATGGTGGTCCTCTCAACAGTAATAGCAAAGTTTAGAAGAGGAGAGGATTTGGGGAGAAATTTATTAAGTCCTGATTTGGGCATCTTGAGTCTAGACTTGTTGTTTGCATTGGAAAGATTATTTTTATATCTGGGAGACCAAGCAATTAACCAACAAGTATTTATTAAGTACCTACTATGTGCCAGACTGTCTATGTCGAGTGCTGAGGATACAGAAATATGAAACATTTTTTTTTTTATGAAACATTCCATACTCATATAAGACCTTATATACTCCTAGTTCTGGGGGGGGGGAGAGAAGGACAGGAGAAGAAAAGAAGGAAAGGAGGGAGGGAGGAAGGAAGGGAGGGAGGGAGGGAGGAAGGGAGGGAGGAAGGAAGGAAGGAAGGAAGGAAGGAAGGAAGGAAGGAAGGAAGGAAGGAAGGAAATTTACTAGACCTTTACAAGATGTAACTGAGATTATGGAAAAAGAAAAAAATCCTGGTTTGCCCAGCATATCACTTAGCATAATTGAGACTGAAGGGACACAGCTCAAGTGCCGGACTGGTGTTGACTAGAGTAGAAGAAATGAAGGTCACCAGAATATTGGAAATACATGGATCTGAATAAGAACCACATGGGATTAGATGGGACACAAACTCCATTGGTGAAATACAGACATTACAACTATAACAAAATGCAAAGTGATGAAAGTTCCCCCCGTTGCTGAAAATTATATCTACTGTTATGCCTTCCACATTGCAGGGGATTTAGGGACGTGGTGCCCCTGCAATATGGAAAATCTGTATAAAAACGTTGGGCCCTCCCTTTGTACCAGAGAGCAAGTCTGAATTTCTTCTTTTTCTTTTATGGGGTGTTTACAGTACCTTATTGTAAAATTTGGGTTAAGTATTTGGTCATAGGCTCTGTGTTGTCAGCTGGCCTTTGCATGTCATCTGTGGCTTCCACAAAACTCCTGAAAAAATCCCATTTAATTTCTTATGCCACCTGGAGACATATGGAAACCACAATGGGGAAAGTCACACTGAGGAATGGATAACCAAAGCTGGCAACTCAGGTTCACCCCCCAAATTGTCAAATGTTGACTTCATCACCAAATTGATTAGGTAGGAAACTCAGCTCCGCCCCTGAACACTGAGGATTGGCCAGGCTTCCCCGTACATAGATTGTGACCCTGGCATTAGACATTGCTCTTGGTATTTGGGTCTTCTAAGAGTTAGATTCAGAAGTTTACGTTTCTGGTCAGTAGCACTGTGGAAAGCCCCAGCTGACTCTGCTCTTGACAGGTCAGGTGTCCATTACCTTATACTCCCTACTAGATCTTGCTAATGAAACTTTTCCTTTCAAAGGAATGTCAGGTTACCTTTAAGTTTCTTGAGATCTTTGAGCCCCATTTATACAATGATAGAGTGGAAAAATATGATCTCTAAGGCCCTTCCCAACCCTGACATCCCCAGTTCTAAGACATTCCCTGTTCTCAGCTCCCTCCCACTTCTTACATTTACATTTTAAGCTTCAAGGTCCTTCCCTTCCCTAACATTTGGGGTTATGTTTCATCTTTCTCATTCTCTGTTTCTCTGAATGTATTTCTTAAATTCCCATTCTGTGCATTGACTCCCTTGGTTACTTCTGACCCTGTTTGCCCTGGAATGTGTTAAATGGGTGTGTGGACATTGGAGGGTTTGTCTTGCTTTCTTCTTTGCTTCTCCATCACCAGTGATGCCACCTCTGGTTTGTCCTTTTAGCTTGGCACGCGTCATATTCTGGAGACGATGGAGGCAGCCGGCCATTCAATCAGCACCTTGTTTCTGTGTGGGGGTCTCAGCAAGAACCCTCTTTTTGTGCAGATGCATGCTGACATCACTGGTAAGTCAGGGAGAGAAGGAAAGACCTGCCCTACCCACTAATTGGAGACCTCGGGTCTGTGGGACAGGGTGAGAGTTAATGTTCCTGAGTCTCACAGTTCTCCTGAAACACAGAGCTCGCCGCCCCCTGCCCTCTGCCAACACAACTCTTGAGTTTCACTTTCAACAAAGCTCTCTAGAAACTCTTCTAAATCCTAGACTTTGAGTTGGAAAGGACTTCAGCAGCCATCCACCACAAACCCTTCATTTTGCAAATGAAGAGACTGAGGCCCAGAGAGATTCAGTGATAATGCTGCACAGGTAGGAAGTATTGGAGGGGGTCAGAATTTGAACCCAGTTCCTCTGACTTCAAATCAACCATTCTTTCCTTTGTCCTGTGCTGTTCCTTCCACACGTACTGAGATCAGTTTTTTTTTTGTTTGTTTGTTTGTTTAACCTTGGATATATTTTCTATTTCTTTATCTGTGTGCATATTGCCCCTCCCAAACACTTCTTTCCTTAATTGGAATGCCCCAGCTAAACTACTTGAGGTCAAGGATTATGGGCTTTTGTCATTGTATTTCCTCCTAGAAATCTTAATGTGTAAGTTTCCCATTGTGTTTCTTTGCCTACCTCCGAGACTGGTGAACATGAGAACCTGAAGTAGCCTGGTATCATAAGAAAGGCATCAACTTAGGGATTCATCAGTACAGCCACAAGCCAGCACACCCTCCCCCCCAAAACACCAAAATAAGCAGAGCACTAGGAGAGAGGCCTCCACACATGGTTTGATGATGGCTGCCTCCCGCATTCTTGCAGTCCTGCTGCATAAGATACTGCATGATAAGTTCATTGATGAAGGGCCAGACCACATGTTTAGTCACGTGAGAGCCCGAGTTGCTCACCATACAGTTCCCAGCAAGAGTCAGGGAGAATGACTTCTCCTCTGGTGAAATCTCATTCCTATGGGCTTCTCTTAATTGAGGATTTGTGATCAAAAGACACCAGGGTTGAGGCTGGGTCTAAGACTGAAAAATAGAGCTGTGTTTCAAGTCAACATTTATTGATTAAGCTCCTACTATGTGCCAGCCACAGTGCTAAGCACAGAGAATACAACAAAAGACACACACACACACACACACACACAAAAACTGTCCCTGCTCTAGAGAAACTCACAGTTTAATGGAGAGACAACACGTGAACAGCTATACAAATATCATATATGCAGGGCAAATTGGAGATAATGGTGGAGGAAAAGCTCTGAGATTCAGGAGGGTAAGGAAGGGCTTCTTATTTGCAAAATGTGGGGTGTTAGCTGAGACTTGATGAGGGAAGGGTTCCAAGTGGTGAAAATGCTTAGAGAATCAAGTCTGAGAAGTGGCCAGGAAGACCCCATCGCTGAATCACAGAGCAGGTGAGAAGAGTGACGTGTATGTAAGAAGACTGAAAGGTAGGAGGGGCCGGGTGATGAAGGACCTTGAAGGCTAAACAAAGAGTTTTATATTTGATCTTAGAGGTGATAGGGAATCAATGGAGGTTATTCAATAGGGAGGATTTGAACCTAGGTCCTCTGATGCCAAAGCCAGTGTGCTCCTGTCCCAGCACCACACTGCCCCCATCCATAGAAGCCCCATTGAATTTGTTGATGGCTTTGCCCAGGATCAGGCCTGCCTGCTGCATTCAGTTGTTTTAATTAAGAATGGTCTGGCTATTTCTGATAAAGTTGTAAACTGGAATTTGGCCTTCACTGTGTGGACTACCAGTCCTCTAACAGTCAACTGCACTTTCTACCTTGATGCAGGGAAGAGAGAAGATGGAGGTCAGCCATAAGTGAGCCCCCATGACACAGTGGTCTGGGGCAGCCTGGACCGGGACCTTGGTACTGGTGGGACCCACTGTTTGTCCAATGAGACCAATATCAAGATGCCACTTTCCTTTACTGGAATCCAGAGAAACATAAAGCCAGTTTCACTGCAGAGAGGCTCAGCTTTGGAAGCTATTCTCTGGAGGCTGAAATAAGAGGTCTATTAATAGGTATTTGGATTAAAATGTAAACTGGAATCCTTGGGCTGGAGTTAATGACCAGATACAGTTCAGTACAAAGGGCCCTTTTTTCTGGGTTTGGAATTCCCCTCCCTTTGTAAGGACATTGACTGACAGAGGAATGGCAAAGTTCATCTGCCTTCAAATGCTCTTGGTTCTGCTTAACTCATTAGTCTATCAGATAAAATAACTGGAATTCCACAAGTCTCTCCCATCCCTTCCCCCATCCACCCCAATTCTTTGGAGAAAAGACCAAATTTGAAAGCAGCACTGTGGAAGGCCAGGCCTCATTAGTCAAACCAGTCAGAAACCACCAGACATTGACTCCTGTCTCCTTCAAATATCTTCACTGCTCAAGTTTTCTCAGGGAGAAATAGGGATATATAGATTTGGTAAATTCCCTTTCCAGTACACCCACAGAAAATGAGGCAGTAGAGTCTGGAAACCCACTGAAAAATGACTTCTGGCATGCAGGACCCTGTAGATTCTGGCTTCAGCTTGGTTGTCAAGGAAAGCAGTTATTATCATTGACGATTTTTAAAAAAGATCTAGCCTTTTAAGGATAAATATGGTAAGGATGATAGTGATATTGGTGACGATGATAATGATATACAACTAACTATAGCATTTTCATCTAGTAATTTTCATGCTTGTGGGGGATTTCTGGTATGGAAGCTTATCTATAACTTTGAGTCTTAGAAGGTATAATGAATAGAGGCCTAAGCTTAGAGTCAAATAGGCCTGGATTCAAATCCTTCCTTAGACAAGTAGTAGTTCTGTGGCTCTTGGCCATTAGCTTAACCTTTCTCGTCCTGGAAAATGGGGATAATAATAATCTCTTCACCTGGAAAATGGGAATAATAATATTAACTATTTCAGAAGATTGTTACAAGTATTAAATAAGATATTATAGGTAAAAGACTTCGCAAAACTTGAAGTAACTTTACAAATGTTCATTATTATTTATATTAGTTAGTTAGTGCCTTATATTAGTTAGTGCCCCCAACATGGGGATTCCATTTTGATCCTCTTTAAGCAAAAATGATAACAACTAACCAATCAATATGGTTAGGAAGTTGCTCTGGGTATGGAATAGTAAAGTGACCCATAGTCACACACAGTAAGTTTTTATCAGAGTCAGGACTTGTGCCCAGGTCTTTACTACTCCGAGACCAGTCCTTTAGCCGATATGTTGTGAATGTCACAGTTGGGCCTGGGTTCAAATCTGATATTCACTATATAAATGACCTCAGAAAAGTCTCTCCTCTCTCCGCCTCAGTTTCATTATCTCTAAAATGAGGGAGTTGGTATGAATGTTCTCTCACAGCCAGATCTGATCAGTCATTGGGTAAATATTTATCAAGCTCCAATTATGTGCCAGATGCTGGATATACAAAGAAGGGTAAAAGACAGTCCCTGTTCTCAAAGATTCACAGTCTAATGGGAGGGACGACATGCAAACGATTATGTACAAACAAATGATATGCAGGATAAATTGGAAACATCCAAGACAGAGAAGGCACTAGAACTCGGAGGGGTTAGGAAAAGCTTCTGGAAGCTGCTGTCTGTATAACTGCGACTAAGCCAATTCTTCTCTCTGGCCCTCCGTTTCCCAGATGGAGTCGGAGATACTGAGATACATCACCTCCAAGATTCCTTCTGTTGTGGTACAATAGAAATAGGGATGGTTCTGGGGACAGAGGACTTGCGTTCAAATCACAGCTCTGACATTTTCTACGTGCATGTCCTTAGACAAATGATTCTCTCTCTCTCTCTCTCTCCGGCTCTCAGTTTCTTCATCTGTAAAATGAGAGAGTTGGGCTGGATGACCTTAAAGGTACTTTTCAGTTGTAAGTCAATGATCTTGTTTCCTTAGTTAATTATCTGTTGGAAAAAATGTTTAGTTCACAAATAGCAACTCTATTGCTTCCTTTATTGATGTTCTGATGGGTCAGCATCTTTTTTTCCTGGCACCTGCTCTAAGTCTGACTTGTTCTATTGATGCTGTCCTGCCCTGACATACGTTTGTTATATCAAGGTAGAACCATCTTTCTCATGGAAAGATCTTTGCCAACATGATCAAGGTCAGAGCAAGGGATTCTTGTCTCATTTTTTACAAGTGTACTTGGCCAAGGGTATCCCTGGACTCTTCCTCAGCCAGAATTCCTTCTATATCCCACAGCTGAGGGGTCCCAAGTAAGGACCGGGCCATAACTCAGTAAAAACGTCCAGCTCTCTAGCCCTTTGAGGATTACAGACGATTTTCTTTTAGGACACAGAGTCTTTGAAGCCATGGGTGGGTTTGTATGATCAGCTCCATTTTGCAGAGGGGGCAAGAAGGCTCAGGGAGGTCCCACAGTTGCTAAGTCAGGGAACCAGGGGTCTAACCCAAATGTATCCACACTTCGTCTCTTATTCTCCTGTTTTCCTCCCTATTGCCATGGAATGAGATCCCTTTTGAGAATCTTTCCTAAAGAGAGACTTCACAAAACAAAGAACAGAGATATCTCTTAAGACCATCTTGTTTTGTTTTGTTTTGTCTGGAAGGGGAAAAGAATGAGCCCCTATTATGTTCCAGGCACTATGCTAGGCACTTTACAAACATCATCTCCTTTGATTCTCACAGCAACCCTATGAGATAGGTGCTATTATGGGTCTTTTTTACAGTTGAGGAAACTGAGGCAAACAGAGGTTAGGGGACTTGCCCAGGGTCACACACTGAGTGTTAGAGGCAGGATTGGAACTCAGATCTTCTTGACTCCAGACCCAGTGCTCTAACCACTATACCATATTAGAGGATTACAGATTTAGAGCTAATTAATCCCTTCTTTTTGGAGATGTGGAAACTGAGACATAGAGCAGTTAAGTCATTTCCCTAGGACAGCAGTTTTCAAACTTTTTGGTCTCAGGACATTTTCATACTCTTATTTGGAAAAAGGATAAATTTCTACTAATTGATTTGGCTTTTTTTTTTCAATATCACTATACTTTCTCCCAATGTTCTTCCTCATCAACCTCCATTAAGCCAGACCATATAACAAACAGCACTTTTTTAAACAAAAGAAAGAAAGAAGAGGAAAAATGAGTATAATTAATTAGCACCTCCAAAAAAATCGGAAAATATGTGCATTCTAAACCATCTGTGTACTTTCCACCTCTGTAAGCCCTTTACACCTTCAAAATTATTCAGGATTCAAAGAGCTTTTGTTTATGAGGGCTATATCTATTGATATTTAGAAATTAAAATTCATACATTTTAAAATATTCATTTGTTAATCCATTTAAAAATAAGACTAAACTTCTTACACATTAGCATAAATAATATTTTTTATGAAAAATATATTTCCCCACAAAGAATTAGTGAGAAGATTGACATTGTTTTCCATATTTTTTGTAGATCTCTTGAATATCTGCCTTAATAGAAGACAGCTGATTTTTCATATCTGCTTCTGCATTTCATCTATTGTGATATATTGTTTTGGTTGAAATGGAATGCAGGGTATCTGGCCTCATGTAGAAGGGAGGAGTATTTTAATGGGAGAATAATGATTTAATACTATCATGAAAATGGACTGGATCTCATGGGCCACTGTCAGAGAGTCTTGGGTCCCCCTGGGGATTCACACTTTGAGAACCACTAGCCAAGGGACACATGGGCAGTAAGACTGGAGCCCAAGTGTTCTTGGCTCAGTCCAGTGCTCTGCACATTATCATAGTCATAGCTAGAGATGAAAAAGGGACTCGGGATTATTTAGTCTAACTCTTTCATTTCATGGATAAAAAAAACTAAGGCCACAAAAGACTGACTTACCCAATGACACATACACTTACCCAAATGGTCAAGTTGAGCCCAGATACCCACAATTCTTTTCATGTGTTCCCTAGTCTAATTACATTGGCTTCAATACCCAGTCATGACCTCATGGGCTGCTACTTTTATCTTCTACTAATTATTATCCAGGAATCCCTTGTCTACACGACATCTACACGACATCAATACCACCTACAAATCTTCATCCCTAGGTAACTTCCACAACACAATTTCCATCTTTCTGTTGCATGGCCACATGGTATTTCTAGATGGAGTCAGAAAATTGCCAGGATTTCACGCCCTGTAAATTCTTGGGGCAAAACTTGAGCTGGTCCTAATACTCTTCAGGAGGCTGGAGTGATGGCAGCAGCCAGCAGGAAACTTACAAGCTGGAGGATGTCCAGGAAAGTAAGGAGGGTGGTGAAAAGCCTTGAGATAATGCCGTATGACTCTTGGTGGAAGACTGGGGAGATTTACCCTAGAGAAGAGAAGGCTCAGTGGGGATGCATTGGCCGGCTTCAGGTATTTAAAGGGCTATCACGTGCAAGGTGGTTAGCTTTGTTTTAGCTGGCCCCAAAGGGCATAATTAAGAACAACGAATAGAAGTAGTAAAAGGGTAAACTTAAGCTTGATGTAAAGAAAAGTTTCCAATAATTGATGTACAATTATCTTGGTTGGCCTTGAAAGAAGAAAAGGATTCCAGTACATAGAGATGAGGAAGGCTGGGGTGTGTCCTGGACATGGGGGATGATATAGCAAATGGATGAAGGTGGGAAATAAGAGCTAACATTTATATAGTGTTTACTATGTGCCAGGCACTGTGCTGTTACAAATGTAACATCATTATCATATGATGCCTACCATGCTCCAAGTAGGAAGGGAAAAAGAACAAATATTAAGTGATACCTATGTGCCTGGCAATGTGCTAAGTGCTTTACAATCATTTGATCCTCACAACCACCCTGAGAGGTATTATTGTCCCCATTTTACAGATGAGGAAACTAAGGCACACAAAGGTTAAGTGACTTGCCTAAGGTCACATATCTAGTGAGTATCTGAGGCTGGATTTGACCTCAGATCTTCCTGACTCCAGATCCAGGGCTGTATCTGATAAGCCACCTAAATAGGATTGTTGTGTTTGAGGAATGGCTCATGCAGTGGCTTGACTGGCATATAACGTGAAATAAAGCTGGAAAGGTGGGTCATACTGCCATGCTTAGAATGCCTTCCTTCTTCACTTAGATTCTCTTGGAATCTAAGCTCAGTTCTTGTCGCTTTCCCGCAATTCCTCTTTTTCTGATTGCTCCTGTATCAAACTCAGAGGCCATTGAGTTCAGTTACTCATTTTACAGATTGGTCAACTGAGGCACAATGGAGTTAGATGATTTGCCCGAGTCGCATAGCTATGGTATGTCTGAGGTAGAATTTGAACCCAGTTCTCAATGACACAGAGTCTCATGCCCTCTCCACAATGCCCTGCTGCCCCCCCAGGAAAGGAGTTGTTATCATTTTTTTTTCTGTTTGGGGGTTTGTTTGTTTTTTTGGTCTTTGTATCTCTAGCACCTAGACAAGCGATTGGTACGTAGTAGGTGCTCAAATGAAGCTTACTGAATTGAATTGAACCAAATTTCAGCATGGTATAGTTAAAAAAAATGGCTTGATTTAGAGTTAGAAGAATTTGGTATAAATACTGCTTTGCCTCCAAACTGCTAATCTCTTTGGGCCTCAGTTTCCATACTATAAAATAAAGGGGTTGGGCAAGAGGCATCTGTGGTCCCTTCCAGCTCTAGGAACCTACAAATCTAAGTTTCTTCTCCAGGCCCCATTTTTTTTTTTTTGGTGAGGCATTCAGGGTTAAGTGACTTGCCCAGGGTCACACAGCTAGTAAGTGTCATGTGTCTGATACTAGATTTGAACTCACATCCTCCTGACTCCAAGTCCGGTGCTCTACCCACTGCGTGACCTAGCTGCCCCCAGGCCCCCATTTTCCTAATCTGTAAAATGGGCTTGTTGGATTGGAGGCCTCCAAGGTCTCTACCAGCTTCAGATGTAAGATGCCACGCATGAACCCCTGGGCTCCTGACCCAATAGCACAGGCAGGGAGCTCCTTCAGCCCTGAGCATCTCTAGGAGCATAACAGTGGAAGGATTGTCTGAGCCCTGATTGCTGTTTGCCCTGAGGTTGGGGGGCAAGGTTGGGGAGGGGGAGGCTGCTGTTCCCTCTTCCTTGCCTCTTACCGAGCTCTTCCCTGTCCTGTCCAGGCTTGCCTATCGTCCTTTCCCAAGAGGTGGAGTCTGTGTTGGTGGGCGCTGCCATACTGGGAGCCTGTGCCTCTGGGGACTTCACTTCAGTCCAGGTACGTGCCTGCCCAGGGGCAGGGCCTGGCCCAGGGCCTGTCTCTGCTCTCTGGCTGTCAACAGCCTTTCTGGGCTCTTTGACAGTTTGCAAAACACTGGCAAGGCTATCATTAAGAAGGAGGGGCCTCAGCCCAAGGAGGAACAGAGTCTTCCTGCCTCAGGTACCTCGGTTTCTGCTGGCCCTGGATCTTGTCTCCACCCTACACACACACACACACACACACACACCCCACACATAAACACATACCCTTCCTTGTTCTGCATTTTCAGAAATCTCTTTGTTGTGCTATGCCATGACATATGGAGTGGAATGGTTGATGGGGAAGGGGAGAAGACAAGGGAAGGGGGTATAAGAGTGGTTGGTCAAGGGCCGGGCCAGCTGGGAGCCCATGTGGAGCAAGAGACCAGAAGGTCTGGGTTTAAAATAAGACATTTGCTAGGTTTGTGACCCTCTAAGCCTCAGTCTGATCATTCTAAATACCCCTAGAACTGTCCTCATTGGGTTTGTGTGAAGAAAACCTTCTGTGAACCTTAAATTACTCTAGTCATGTTGGTTGTTTAAATATAAAACAAATTATATACACATATGTATGCGTGTGTATATATACACATATATATCATGCCTCCATTTTAGGTGATCTGGACATGTACAGCAAAGCCCAAATATACAATATATGCATACATATGTATGTATATATATATACACATATATATATATAGTTATGTGTATATATACACATATAATCTCTACCTATATCCATCTTTATCATCTACTTATACATGCATGGCTCTCTTCCTCCTCCTCTCTCTCTGTCTCTCTCTGTGTCTCTCTCTCCTTTCCTTTCTCTCTCTCTCTCTCCTTTCCTTTCTCTCTCTCTCTTCTTTCCTTTCTCTCTCTCTGTCTCTCTCTCTCTCTTTCTCTCTCTCTCTTCTTTCCTTTCTCTCTCTCTGTCTCTCTCTCTCTCTTTCTCTCTCTCTCTTCTTTCCTTTCTCTCTCTCTGTCTCTCTCTCTCTTTCTCTCTCTCTTCTTTCCTTTCTCTCTCTCTCTTCTTTACTTTCTCTCTCTCTCTTTCTCTCTCTCTCTTCTTTCCTTTCTCTCTCTCTCTTTCTCTCTCTCTCTGTCTCTCTTTTTCTCTCTCTCTCTCCTTTCCTTTCTCTCTCTCTCTCTCCTTTCCTTTCTCTCTCTCTCTCTCCTTTCCTTTCTCTCTCTCTCTGTCTCTCTCTCTCTCTGTCCTTTCCTTTCTCTTTCTCTGTCTCTCTCTCTCCTTTCCTTTATCTCTCTCTCTCTCTCTCTCTCTCTCTCTCTCTCTCTCTCTCTCTCTCTGTCTCTCTCTTTCTCTCTCTCTGTCTTTCTCTCTCTCTCTCTCTCTCTCTCTCCCTCTGGTGCATGGATACTGCAGTCCCTCTTGCTTTGCGTCCCACACACAAACATTGCTGGTGGGTCCAAAGTAATGAATACTATTTATCCGCCATGGACACTATTGCTTAGTTCTTCCTCTTTGTTAGCGCTACTACAGGGCCATCGGATCTTCCAGAGGTAGAAGAGAACTGAAGGAGGAGGGTAGAGAAACAGAGAGACAGAGACAGCTCTAGGCACTGGGGATCAATACTCAAGCAAGCGCGGCTGGGCAATCCTTGAAGTCAGGACCTTACCTCCCAAGGAGAGAACATGTCAAACAGAAAAGGAAGTGAAAAGGAGGGAGCACATCCTCATAGGAAAGTAGCAGGAAACCTGGAGGAAGGGTCTGGGTGGCTCCTTCAAAAACTCATCTATGAGAGTAAAGAGGAGGAAAGAAAGGAGAAGAAGAAGGAGGAGGAGGAGGAGGAGGAGAGGAAGAATGGAGAGAAGAAAAGAAAAAAGGAAGAAAGGAAAAGGAAAGAAAGGGAAAAAGGAAAAAAGGTTAGAAAAAAAGAAGAAATGAAGGAAGAAGAGAAAAAGAGAAAAAGAGAAAGAAAAAGAAGAAAGGAAGGAAGAAAGAAAGAAAGAAAGAAAGAAAGAAAGAAAGAAAGAAAGAAAGAAAGAAAGAAAGAAAGAAAGAAAGAAAGAAAGAAAAAAGAAAGAAAGAAAAAAGAAAGAAAGAAAGAAAGGACAAGACACATGTAAAAGGGTCTGGAGGACACCTAACCTGTGGCTTTTTTCTCCAAGGCTCTCCTTGAGGCTTTTGTTTTCCACACAGATTTCTTTCTCTACCTCTAAGTTCCATGCTTGTGTTTCCAGTGATCCCCTCTCCATCACATGGGTTCTGCTGCCATCAGCTTTCTTCTGCGGCTGCTTGCCCGTTAATGCCTATAAGCATTTCTGTCTGGAGCTAAAAGGTCCTGCTCTTGAATGATTAGGGAATACATTTGGCTTCCTGATTGAATTTTCTGAGCCCCTTATCCATTTCCCCATCTACCACATGAGAGGAGGGCACCAAGTCAGAGTGAGCCATTGGTGGTTTAAGGAAAGATTTATTTCTAAATTCGATACCAGGCCTTCCTCTCATGATCGTTATTGGCCACATCTGTATTAACATCCTGGGTTTTCTTTCCCTGAGAAACCCATGAAGGAAAGTTGCTAGTTCTGGATATAATCTGTGGCAAAGCTCTGCTTCCAATTCAATTCGCTGAAGGGTGACATCAGTGCAGATAGCAGAATGTCTTCTCAATGCCTCAGGTAACTACTCTCCCCTTGAAGGATTCATGAAGTTTTCTTTCTCCTTCCCATAGATTTGTCTTCCAAAGTGCGTGAATTTACCCCAAATTCCTTTTGTTGTTGCCTCATCATGTGAGGTAGTTCAAGCATTTCACCTCCCTCTTTTAAATAAATGGGTTCCATTTTTGTCAGAATCAATATCTAAATTGGAATCAGTCTATTAATGAGCATTAATTGTCTGTTAAATGGCAGGTACTGGGAAAACAAAATGTCCTTGGTCTCATATTCTGGGGAGCAAAGGGAACATTGGAGATGGGGGCATGAAATGCCCCATGTACATGGGTAATTACATACACACACAGAGTAGTTGAAAGGGATTCCTTAGGTCATCTAGTGCCCCCTACCTACTCCCCACAATAGCTTAAAATTGATCTAAGACTTTTAGGACATGTGATAAATCCTAGACATGACCTCTTTGAGGGCAGGAACTCTTTTTATTATTTTTCAGTCATGTCCAACTCTCCATGACCCCATTTGGGATTTTCTAGAATGGTTTGTCACTTCATTCTCCAGCTCATTTTACAGATGAGGAAACTGAGGCACAAAATGGTTAAGTGACTTGCTCAGGGTCACACAGCTAGTGTTTGAAATCATATTTAATTCTAGTCTTCCTGACTCTAGGCTTAGCTCTACTTACTTCTCCACCTAGCTGCCCCTTCAGCCTTCGTTCCTTTATCCTCTGTACCGAGCACCTAGTTGATACTTAATAAAAACACACTGAATGATTAGTCATGCAGCCTGGGTTTGAAGATCTCTAGTGAGAGACCATTCACTCCCTGCAAGTAATAAGAAATAACATGACATGGAAGGAAGGGAAGGGAAAGGAAGGGAAAGAAAGGGACTAGGGGAAAAAATATATATGTGTGTGTGTGTGTGAAAATATATTTTATATATTCTCTATATATATATAAATATAAAAATAGGGAAAATATAAAGTAATACATTGGACCTTTCCACAGAAACTCACATTGTACTACCAAAGGGCTTGTTCATACATTGGTCACCATAAGTGTGTGGGTTGAGAGGATCACCCATGGAAATCTACTAGCCTCTTGGAGAGTCAGTATTATGACTAAGTCCATAAGATTAAATAAAAGCAAAAGACAGGTCAACAGGCCATAATTTAATCAGAAATCTGCTGTGATTGGGAAGAGTGCCCAGAAAACTGGAAAAAAAATTAAACAGTCGAATTCAGATTCTTGGAATGCATGGAGCTAGCATTGAAGTCTGTGAATGAGCCTTTGGTTGGAGGAGTTCAACAAGGCATCCTCAAGTATGAGGCTGAAAAAAAAAATAATGGCTTCATTATTGTCCTGGCCTGAGTAAGGTAGCTCTGGATGATGCAGAGCAGAAATCGCCAGTTAAGGATGTGTTTAGGCTGCCCCTCCTTCCTCTATGATTTGAAAGCTGATCTTTTTTTACTTGCTTACTGGGAAATGCAATAGCTCCCAAGATAATTCAGATGTAAATTGGTGCTTCAAAAGAATCCTAACAGGTTCATAGATTAGAACTTGAAGGGACTTGAATCATCTAATCTAACTCTCCCCCTCCCCACTATTTCATAGTTGAGGACCCAGAGAGGGTAAATTCATTGACTCAAGCTCATATAGGTCCTAAGTTTAAGAGATAAGATTTGAAGCCAGAACCTCTATTCTCCAAACTCACTATACTAAGCTGCCTGAACACTGGGCTATATCAAATAAAGTGAAATGGAAAAAAAAAAGATAATTGGAATATCTTATACTTGGATTAAAAAAATCCATTTTACAAATACACAGTGGGGAAGGTGTGGGGGGACTGTAGTTTGTCTGAAAAAAACAAAACAAAACAAAAAAAACCTCAAGGGCTTTTAGTGGCCTTCAGTCTCAATATGAAGCAACGGTACGATATGATGGCCGAAAAAACTAATATGAAGCTTGGGTTGCTTTAAGGATGTGTATCGTTCAAGAATAAGGAGTTGATGGTGGTCCTACTGTATTTGCTGTGCCCTGAAGTATTGTGTTCAGTTCTTGGCATCAAATTTTCAGAATGATATTGGCAAGCTGGAGAGCTTCAAGAGTAAGGCAAACAAAATGGTGAAAGAACTTAAATACATCCCTCATAAAGATTAATTAAAGAATCTAGGAAAATTTAGCCCAGGAAAGAAAAAGTGTAAGGGGAATGTTCTAGTTGTCTTCAACTCTTTCAAGACCTGTCAAGTGAAAGAGGCATTAGACATTTTGTGCTTGGCCCATCAGAACCAAGAACAATAGGTAGAAATTTCAGAGGGATAAATAGAAGATTAATGTCAGAAAGAAACTTCCT